CAGATAAAAGCAGGTATAGTATAAATTCAATTAAGAAACCTTTCAATTTGGGACAGTTTTTTGAATGGTTACCCCCAAAGACGCAAGGCATTATGGAAATCTGAAAGTAGAGAATATGTGTTATTACCTCTGAGTCAGCAGAATCATTTTCAGTCTCCTGAAATAAAAACATATAACGAATAATCAATCAAGGTTCCCGGTGTATGTATACAGCTATTGAACAAGACTGATGGACAGTTTAAAACATGTCTGTCTGTCACACGTACCGATACGAGCCAGTAGTCTTCACCTTCGTTCTCAAACTGTCTTATCTCAAGCTCTACTCGTGAAACAAGTTCCTCTAATGGATGATTAAACGTGTTGAGTATCTCTGGCAAGCTGAAAAAATGAAATAAAATATTTATAAGATTATAACTACGCTGGTCTTACAGAAAAGTGCATTTCCCGTATGTGAAAAGAATGTACAATGGAGGCAAATGATGGAATAAGGGACGAACCATTAGATTATTGAGGGGGAGGGGGGTGGGGTAGCGCAAATCTCCAAGATCCTGTACCCTAGCACTACTTACATGAAGTATAGTTCAAAACGAAAAGAGAAATATCGAGCAAACACACACACAAAAAACGCGGTACAAAAATAAAATATACCTTATTCCACTTAATTTTCGCGTCACTTAATTTTCGCGAATTTCGCGATTTGAAAAATATCGCGAAAATTAGATGTCGCGAAAATAAAGTCAAGCGAAAATTAGGAAGCGCGAAGTGACTTAGTTTTCACCTAAATTGGAAAACCGCGAAAATTAAGTGTCGCGAAATATCGCCATCAAAAAATCGCGAAATTTAGGAGTCGCGAAAATTAAGTGGAATAAGGTAGTGCAAAACCAACTCCCTCAACCTCCCCCTCAATCATCTAATGGTCCATCCCTCCCTTCCCAAGATAAACCAAGGAGAAATGCACTACTTCTGATTGGTATTTACCTGGTCAACGGATATAACGTTACAAAAGTACGAGGATAACCGTCATCAACCATGCCTCTCACCTCATATCTATTGCAATAAATGAAATGAAAAAATATGCGATTAAAAAAGAGTATTAGATTGGACTAGCCGTTGGTTGTGGTCCCACATTGAAACTACCGAAGCTCTATACCCTGTATGTCTTTAAACGTAAATTAACCTCAGACACACTAAGAGGAAAATGTGATTATTATGATAATAGTACAAGAAGCTAAAACAGTCTGAACATTTTAAGTACTTAGGAGTGAATATCGATAATCGTCTTAATTGGAGCAAGCATGTTTCTTACATATCTTCTAAAATTTATCCAAAACTTAAGATGCTAAATAGGATTTCATCTTATTTAAATAGAAATGTACTGTTACGAATATACAAACAGACTGTCCTACCAATATTAGATTATGGGAGCATAGTTTAGGGAGACTGTGGGAAGCAGAATGCACAGCGCTTAGATCGCCTTCAAAATCAGGCAATGCGTATCATTTTATCACGTGATCGCAAAACTTGCACTCAGGATATGCGTACTAAGTTAGTTCTTTTAACTTTATCTAGTAGGGCGCGTTTTTTAAGACTTCAATTAGTTTACAAAATCATTAATAATATAAACTGCCCAGATCAGCTAAAAACTTACCTAGTGAAAAGATCGGACTTGCATAATAGATCGCTGAGAGATATGACATAACTGAACATACCAAAAACATCTTCCAAAATGGGGCAACTATCATATAAGTTTGCTGCTGCTAAGGATTGGAATGATTTGCCTAAGGATTTGAGTGAACTTAGCTCTTTTTCCATTTTTAAAAACAAGCTTTTTAAGTATTTTTTAGATTTTGATAAAAAAGAGCAAAAGTGTACTGTACGATAGATTTTTTTCTTCTTCATATACTTATTTCATTATTTAATTATTTAACCAATAATCTACACTGAGGCACGAAAATCACGCGTTTTCAATATATCTTTTGTAGCCTAATGTTTCTGTTTCGTTTTTCTTTTTCGAGCCCTCGTATAAACAATGCATATATATGTTTTGTGGGCGCGGGGTTTTTGTGTTTCTGCTTTTAAGTTCTCAATCGCAGATTTTAGTATAGATTTTTATAGATTTTATATTGCTGATCAGCGGTTCATACCAGCTGTTCTATCGTGTCTAGCTGATCGGTTTTTTAAATCAGGGTAAACAAAGATATTATTATTATTATTATTATTATTATTATTATTATTATTATTATTATTATTATGAAATGCCGAAACCCCGGATGAAAACTCCTTAAAGTAACGGGGAAGGAAGGGGAGAGGAAGGGGAGTGGGCAGAAAAGAGCAGGAAGCAAAGTTTTGATTGAAGAAAGGCTTTATGAATTGAGCAGTCTGACCCCAACAAACCTACAATACCAAATCCTGATGAAATTATCTATTGACTTCGATCTACAAAATAGGCACTTACTTTACTAACTCTTCCATTAGCTCACGATCTTCATCAGCAGACAAAACAACTTTGGGAATGGCTAGTTTCTTTTGACGGAGCTAAAGAGAGTACAATAAAAAGGCACTTAATCGTTTTAAAAAGCATGACTTTGAAAACTCACGTCGTCTGAGTTAGAAAGTGAGTACGGGAACAGATGAGGGACTCTAAGTAACAGAAATCATGGAATTTGAAACGAATCACTTCAAATCAAACTGTTAACAACTTCATACAAGAATTTAGAGAGGAAAACCGGAGAACCCGGAGAAAACCCTCGAAGCACATGAGAGAACCAACAAACAACTCTAGTCGCATACGACACCAAGCCTGGCAGGACTAGAACACAGGTCACACTGGTAAAAGACGACACATTAGCAACGCACGATACCAGTGCTTTGTGAAGAGAAGTTCTAATTCGTCCACCAAGGGAAAGCTGTTGCGCGCAACACGGATAGTGTCTCACAAGCAACAATATTTTTTGTGTAAATTGATCTTTTCATGTTGTATGAAAATACGCCAATAACAGGTGGAACAGACTGAAAACGGGCTAGAAGTGGTGTTATTCTACTAACATAACTATCTGTATTACCCTAGCTACATTAGGTAAAAGCAGTGGTGTTATTCTACTAACATAACTATCTGTATTA